ACCGCCCCCTGAGCGAGCGACTGAACAACCACTACTACAGCCTGGACATCGGCCCGGCGCACATTGTCATGTTCAGCACTGAGTTCTACTACTTCTTCAGCGAGGAGTTTGGCTACGAGCAGATCCGCCACCAGTACGAGTGGCTGAAGGCCGACCTGGAGAGGGCNAAGCGACCCTTCATCATCGTCTTCGGCCATCGGCCTTTCTACTGCTTGAAGGTGCAGGACTGTCCGCCGCCGGTGCTGGAGAGGGATGAGCTGCGAATTGGGCTGAGGGAGTGGCCGCCTAAGAAGCACCATCACCATCACCATCATCACCATCACCACCATGATGATGGTGATAAGCACCCTCATATTAGTGGTCGTCAACCTCACCCTCACCATGAGCACTATGAACACCATGAACACTACGAGTATCATAATCATGAGGAGGATCACCACGAGCACCACCACCACCACCACCACAACGTCAAACGGGAGGCTCGCCCAGAGCAGCACAGTCCACCGCTGAAGACGTTCGCCGAGGCGAGTGAAGAGGGTGACGACGACCACCACCACGGCCGATACTACGGTCTGGAGAAGCTCTTCTACGAGACGGGCGTCGACCTGTACATCTCCGGACACGAGCACTACTACTTTCGGACGACGCCCATCTACAACTTCAAGTGGCACCACAGCGACAAGAAGAACGACTACACCGATCCGCGCTATCCGATTCACATCGTCTCCGGCTCGGCGGGCTGCTTTGAGAATCACAGCCACTTCAACTCAAAGCCGGAGTGGCTTGTGAAAAAAAGTCTTGATTATGGATATATGAAGATGAAATTTCTCAGCTCGCACAAGGTAGAGCTGAAGCAGTACTCGGTTGATAAGGTAAATTGGGCTGATAAGGGGTTGCTTCAGTTGATAACTGCATCTAATTGTGGTCTTTATCATTTCCCACTTTAGAAACAAGTAATTGACCACATCACCATTCACAAGACGCACGACTACCCGGCCTGGTTGGGCAGCGGCCAGTCAGGGGGAAATGATGATGATGATGATGATAAGAGTACCACTACCTCTTCTTCTTCATCCTCTTCTATTGTACCGGATGTTCCCAGCACCGAAGCGTCCTTAAACTTTCAAACAACATTAGCACCAGCTGATGATGACAGCTCCGAGAGCACAGCAAAACAACCGAACGATGGCAATGTTGACAAAAAGAATGAGGAAGTGCCAACTGAGTAGGGCAAAATGTTCAGATGCAAAATGTTAAGAGTGTACGATGATGATAAATGGAAAATAAAAATACGCTTATAGCCGCGCCATTTAACAGGTGGTGGTAGTGATAGTGTATAAAACTTAAAGCAGAAAAATGTGTTTAAAAGCAGGTGAAAAATTAGGAAACGTGAAAAAGCACGGTAAAAAGTGCATTCAAATGCATTCAGAGAGCACCCGAAATGCCCGCGATGGCTATCAGTAGTAAAGCTTAGCAAGGGAAGGGAAAACAACGAGGAGATAACTACTGGCGCGCGCGATCATTAGCGCTTTTCTCCTGAAAAGCGCTAATTGTCGCCCCGTTTTAGGTCACACACACACAGTCACAGTCACAGGTTTGAATGCAGAGCAAAAGGTAAGCTACCTTTTCTAAAGTCTAATCTTTTTGAGAGAAAATAAATAATCAATCTTTTGTTCTGCTTGAATAAGCAAAAAAAGCAAGCAGAAACAATGTTTAAAACAAAAGTTGCAACATATATTACTCCTTCTCTCCCTGCTGAACATATTTGAACTATATTTGTGCCGTCTTTCTTAGCGGAAAAAAATACTAAAACGACAATAAAAAAACAGTGGCAGTATAAATAAAATCGGTTTTCTGTTTTTCAAAGTTTTTGCTAGTTGAGCACCACTGGACCAGCAACATCAGCAACAACAATGACAGCTTCAGGCGGAGATTTGCAGGCTTCAACTTCAAGCAAAAGTTTTTCGACTTCAACTTCTTCTTCCTCTTCACCAGCAATTAAGGAAGAGGATCCGCTCCACCTTGAACCTGAAGAGATACCATCGCCAGACTCTCAGCTTATCAAACCAAAAGCTCAGCCGTACCGTCGACAGCTCGTCTGGCGGAACATCATCGCCCTCGCCTTCATTCACATCATCGGCCTCTACGCCTTGACCCTCCTGCCCAGCTGCAAGCTGGCCACCATGTACTGGGGCTACTT